CCATCCCTGGGGTCTCGGGACGTGGGGACACTGGTTTCTCCCCGGGATGGAACGGAGGCTGAGACTCTGGGGAGTTTCTCCGCGGGTCACCTGCCCTGGGGAGGGGTGGGAGGCAGGGGGCGTCTCGGCAGGCAGCCCCTCATTCTTCGCCCGCCCCCAGGAGCGACGCCGGGCCGAGAGAGCTGAGCAGCAGCGCTTCAGGACCGAGAAGGAGCGCGAGCGCCAGGCCAAGCTGGCGGTGGGTGCCTGCCTGGGAGCCCAGATGGGACTTTTTCTTTTTTGTTTTTGAGTCGGAGTCTCACTCTGTCGCCCAGGCTGGAGGGCTGTGGCACGGTCACGGCCACCGCAGCCTCAACCTGCCGGGTTCAGGCGATCCTTCCGCCTCAGCCTTCCAAGGAGCTGGAACCACAGGCGTGTGTCTCCGTACCGGCTTATTTTTTGACTTATGGTAGAGATGCAGTCTTGCCAACTTGCCCAGGCTGATCTTGAACCCGTGGGCTCAGGCAATCCTCTCACCTCAGCCTCCCTGGGATGACAGGTGTGAGCCACTGAGCCCAGCAGGACTTCAATTTTCTATTTCTCATATTCTCTGTGGTCCTGAGAAAGCCCCCAGCTGTACTATTTAAGCATCTTTCTGTTGGAAAAGACAGAAGTCCCAGCCCAAACTGGATTCGGCAGAAAGGAGTCTTACTGGCTCCCGTAACTACAAAGTCTAGGGCTTGGCTTGCCTCAGGCATGGCTGGATCAAGGGACCCTAATGATACTACAAAGACTCAGCTTTCCTCTTCCCAACCCTTGGCCCAGGACGTCGAGGTTGCAGTGAGGACAGTGTCCAGGGGCCTTTGGATACTGGAGCAACTAGCTCTTCTTGGTTTGACCAAGCCCCCTGAGACTTTCCTGGGTTTAGCCCTGAAAATCCTGTGTCCCATCCATCTCCCACCAATTTGGGGGTGCCATCATATTTGGCTCCCCCATATCACCTGCTAGGCTCTACAGGTCACAGCGCCACAAAAAGAGGGTTCCATCTCAGTGACATGTTTCACAGAGAAGGCGGCAGGGGCCCGAAGAGGGGCAGCCACGTGCTCAAGTCACACAGCACCAGGGTTCATGCCTGGAGCATGTATGTGGGGGCTCCTGGCTCAGTGCCAGGCAAACTGGGATGGCTGGTCACCCTACTGGACACCCCTGTTCCCAGGGGTGGCCAGCAGCAGCTCCATCTTAAGGGGAGAGGGACTGGGGCCTGGACTTTCTCTGTTTCCTGCACAAACCTCGTCATACCTTTAGACTGTTCACCTGTCTGAATATCCCACTGGGAGGATTAAGGCCCAGAGGGGGGCAGGGACTTGCAGGGGGCCACACAGCAAGACTGGGTGGGGGCAGGAGGGGAAGGCTCACATTTTTGCCATCCTGAAGGTTCCCTTGGCTTCTGGGGTGCTGCATCTGGTGGGGCCTGGCATGCCGGTTTCACTCAGCACGGAACTGGGCCCCCTCCTCCCCTCACCCCAGGGCCCTCCATCCTCAGTCCTGGGTGGGTGGGTGG